GAATCATTTTTTCTAGATTAGTTTTGATATGAAAAAGCTCTCCAAAACAAGCTGGCCACTTGAAGACGGCGAAAAGTTTTAAAGAGAAGTTTCGCCTCTAAGCAGTGAATCATTGAGATTGTAAAACCCCAAGTGGGTCTGCCCTCCACTTATTTCACTAGAACAATTTGTTAATTTCCCAGACTCGAGAAGTTCTAAGAGATCTTATCATGGTAAACAAAGAGGAAAATTAGAAAAATGTTTTACTGCCGCACGCGACCTCTTCAAATTAAGCCCACTTCTGGGCTGGTCTTCGCGACTGGAGTACCGCAGCATTATCACCAGCGTTCATTAATTAGTAATTTTCTTTGTAATCTTTAGTAAATGTCCCGCAAAAGACTGGAAATCCATCTTTGTTTACTGACAACTGGCGTTGATAAGATTTTTGGATAAAGGCTTTCATGTGTTAATTAAGAATACTTCGCTGACGAAACTTTATTCTAAGTCTTAGTTGAAGGGTATGCAAATAAGGTCACGTGGGCACTTGTGGCATCATTCCTAGCGCGGCACGCGCCACAGTGTTTGCAAAACTTGAAGAGGGCTTTTTACGCAAGAAAATCACTCAAAACAAAACTCTTCAGACCTCGCTCTCGGGCCATCTATTCTCTAGTATATGCAACTAATCAATTACTTTTGAAAATTGCCCATGTTTCTATAAACAGGCACGTGTCTCTCTCGGCGTTCCTCCTTAAGGAAAAAAAGGATGCTGAAATCTAAAATATTAACACACAAATCAAGGTTGCAATTCAAGATAATATTTCTATCCTGACATTTATTATTGGGAACATATTCTCCTGTTCTCTTGAGATTTTTTTCCTCTGGAGACCCTGTTTGGCGTGAGAAGATCGTAAATAGGATTTAGTTATAGATGAATGTATTTTTTTTTTTTTTATGGACATATCAAATGGATTTACAAGAGTTATGAGATTATAAATAGCATTTTAATCATTTTACAATGTAGGGAGTGGTATTCATGTACCGATTACACTCGTGACAGGCGTTGTCTTCATCGTATATTATTTCTACTTTACTTCCCAATTTCTTGCATGTTATTTTACAAATAAAAATTGAGAGGACCCTTTTTCTTATAAAAGATAAATAAAAACAAAATAAAGATAGAAAAGGGAAGACAAAGAAAACAAAATCGAAAAAATAAAACACAACTTGCTATCCGTTTAGTTATCCGTTTCGATTTCGAAGTTGATATGTGACAGGCCGAGTTCATAATATCTGCATTGTTATTTAAAGCTATCCGGGGAAACAAAATCAAATTATCAGGTTACGAAAGCAACATTTGTTCCAACGAAATTATGCTGCTATAAGGTCCTTTAGGTTGAATTGAGTGTCTGAAGATCTGAAGGGATAGGTAACAGTTTAGCTTTGGTCCATTGTGTGGCTACCCTGTCCGGGAAAATATTTATCTTAAACAGGTGGCAAGGGCCCACGTATCTGCACGAGGGTCACTTGAAACGGTAGAGTTTCCACTTAATTTGAGTGTCCATGTTACATAAGTTTGAATACAAATGAGATCTTACATTTTGAAGAATCTTGAATTAATCACTGGAGATCAAAAACAACAGTGAGTTGAGAATATTTTAACGAATTTCAAACAGAACAGAATGGTGTAACAAATGTTGAAGAGAGTATGAGCCGCAGAGACAGACGGGTCACCAGAACAAGTTGGCGCGTGTTCTTTATTTGACATTCACTTGCCCAGCGTCGCTGTGTATATTGTGCAGATTAGCAAGTCTCTATCGCACAGCATCGCAGATCAAGATGGTTCGGTTACCTTGAATACCTTTGTCTAGGAAAATGGATAAGGGACTAAAATACATCTACTTCAATGGCGGGTTCTTGCTCAGTGTCACAACGGAGCAATTCTTTAGCCGCTGCGTGGCGCAGGTGTGAGATCTTCAATTCAAAATTAATTCCCTCATAACAACCTATAAGTAATTTGCCGGGAGATTAATCCCCCAATTAGAACCAAATTCGCAACTTCTACCCTGAAGATATTAGCAGGGAGAGTTAATCGCATCCTTTCCTTTCCACATGATCCGCCATCGTATTATCACGACAGAGGCTGTCGCGTGTCATGGAGACTTGCCTGCTGTAAAATATGTGGTAAAATTTGAAAAGTATTCAGTGAAGTTTCCCCAATAAACATTTTTGCGAGACAATTGGCGATAATGAAAAATATCTAAAAAGGCGAAATACAATCAAACTTATATCAGATGATTCCTTAAGATGCAGAATAGAAAGCCTAATGGAAAACAAGATTGAAAATGTATTTTGGAATCAGTATAGAAAGGAAAAATAGTCTGCTAAGGTACATGTAGGACTTCACCGGTGTACTGTTTGTGCTCGTCACGTCTATGCCTTCAGTGCTGTTATCGTTTGATTAAAATTTAAGCAAATAAACCTCATAAGACCCCGGGTTTAATAAGCACAAAGAAACCCATCTCCATAAAATCAACTTTCTACTTAAGGATAAATGGCCTCAAGGAAAAATTCTGCTCTTTACCGAAGCGATCCCCTATGTCACTTATCATCGTTTACCGCCTTAAAAACTAATCAGATGGATTTCTGCTCCACATCCCACGCATCCTAAAGCATGTGAAGGAGAAAGAGAGTTCACTCAGCACATTTTCACCACAATAAAAAAGGAAAATGTCGATAAGGACAATATTTTTAACAAAGGCAAACATACAAGGGAAAATGGATCAAAATAGTAAAAAAAACAAAAAAACAAATTTCAATATGAAATACAATTGATCAGCGTGATCCTTCTCGATGCATTTAGACGCACTGACTATTTTTTCTCTTTTTTGCCAGTGAAAGCGAAAATAGCTTCTTTCATTTTTTATGAAACACCACCTGAAATTTTGCGACGCAGCGCTTTTTTTCTGGAAAAGCGCTTGCACCTGCAACTCTACGCGGCGTCCCACCGCGGCTGTAATAGAAACCAGCAATTGTGGGTTCAACCGAGTGTAGATGGAACGCTAGGTTAGACAACGGTACAGGTGAAAACGCCAAAAAATTAAGAGAACAAAACCCAGAAGAGGATTCATGTACTTTGTATATTTTTTGCATCAAAATTAAATAGATGGTTGGCACCACGCCTAAGAGGGTTTGTTCCAGGTAAGACCCCTTAGATTATCCAGTTTTCACTAAGCAACGAGCCACACTTGCAATTCAGATGATAATTTGGATGCATAAATGGACTACGTTTTTTTATTTTGCACAGAGCTAATTGTTCTACTGTTTGGTACAACTGTCAGGATTTGATATAGGGTGGGGGCATCACAAGAGCGGTTTAAACTCCCATTAATACTTAAGTATCGTGTCATTCACATTTTGAATTTCTTTTTGATATATCATTCTTATAACCATATAATTCGTAATTTTTATTATTTCAAAGTTATATGAAGCTATTTATGTACAAACCCCCCAAATATGTCAAACAAGTGGCTTAACAAAACGTATAAAGGTTATTTCAAAGTGATAGGCCTACCTTATTCATTAACCACAGCAAGGCAGTGTTTTTGTGACTAATTTATTGTACGTAATCAACATTATCTACATCAAACCTTAAAAATATATGATTTCTTTTGTAATGTTACTCACAAAAACCGAATATGACAGCAACTAATGTGCCAAAAAAGTTATCCTTAATTTGTCTTAAACTAATGTACAAGCTTTTCCCCCAACCAATCCTATCAATATAAAACTTGTACACCTGCCGTCTTACACAGATTTCATAACTCTCCCATAAGAAAAATATTCACAAATTGTCACACTGACTTTTCAAAAATATGTTACAAGGCATTGGTTTTATATACAAATGATACTAAGTTTGCTCCACTTTAAAAATACCTATAAATTTGCTGTTATAAGATTATGTAAAATGTAAAACAAGTTTCCTTTGCAGTTGACAGTTAATCTACAATTTTCAATACACATTATCATATACCTCGACTTTCTCACACAGAACAGCACAGGATGTCCTTCGTAAATTTGAAATTTCAATATTTGAGGAATATATTTACAATAATAATACTACTAATAATAAAAATTATAATACTTAGCAGTTCATTTTCAATGAAAAACTTTTCAAGTGAAGTGTCAAATGCTTTTTCTTCCCTGTTACTTTATTTAAACTGAGGATTTGTATAAAAAAATAATTAAAGGAAGCTTTTTGTATCAAAAAGACCCAAATATTAATTCCTTTTGGAAAGTTTTGTTATTCTTTTTACAGTATTTTCCCATAGCAACAGAACTATTGTTTTCTAATCTTAATTTTTAGCAGTCACAACTCATAATCAATTTTTTTCATTCTCGTACACCAAAATACTCAGTTATACACAAACAATACAATACAGCCATTTTAAAACATTAATAGTCAATATTTATCCATAACTAGACATTTTGTCAAGTACAAATATGAAAGGTTGACAAGCTGAGAGAGTGACTGTGGTTCAAGTGGTCACCATTCTATGTCCACTTCTCAGACAGGTGGTCAATACTCTGGACACTGATCGAGTGCTAGCCACAACAACACTCAGAGGAGAGCTAGGGAATGTACATCTCTCGATAATAACACAGGGATATCAGCAGAGAAGATGAAATTGAAAAGCATAATATTGAAAGAAAAAAGTAAAATGCTGAATTTCTCCCACTGACCTAAAATCTAGAAATTTGCAAAAATTATGGAAACATCTTGCTCTTACCACAACACTGTTAACAAATTCTAGGCGAGTTAAAATTAATTCTATTGAACAGATATTTAAAAAATGCTGCCCAACTGAAAACCAATGTAAAGCAACAGTGCCACACCCCTCTGCAAAAATGTTTTGATAAACTTTACAGCAGCACTGAAAATTTTTCAACAGATCCGTTTCATATTCTGTAATCTAATTTGACTAGTTCCATGTATTTTTGTTATAAACCTGTTACATTCTCTAAAACAACTCTACAGATAGTCTTTGTAAATATCATGAAGCCATATCTTAAATCCAAATAATGTGCACCTTTTCACATTAAGGATAGTTCCTGAATACAGGAAAACATGAGGGAAATTAGTTTGTGCTTACCTTTTTGTTAAATTATGACAAAATGTGACAAAATGAGTCATGGGAGTTGACAGTACAGTTTTATCTAAAAACAGAGCAAACACTAGACCAGAATAAAATAAGTAAATTGGTCCTCTAATATCTCCTTTGGAAAGGAGGGGGTGGATATCCGCTTCTGCCCCCCTGGTCAAACTGAAACATGACAAACACAAATTATTGATATAAACAGCAAATAAGCAGCAGAGCAAAAAATGACTACCTCTTATACAATTATCTTACTATTTCATCGATTTGCTTGTGAGCTTGGATTTTACAGTAATTTTTTACATCTCATTACCACAACTATTTGCATTTCAAGAGATTTAAACTATTTTCACTAAAAATTTGCCCTTCCATCAAATTTTGATTCTATCTTAAAGACTACCAAAGTGGGGGAAAAAGAATCATATTAAGTAAATAGAACTTAACAAATCATATCAGAAATAAAAACTTGATTTATTAAGCCTTACCCTGCTCCTTCTGTCTTCAGGCCAGCCTCCCTGGCCACCTCTTTGTTGGTTTTGTTCATATGCATTTCTCTGTCCTTGCATATTCCTCTGCCATGACTGGGGACCACTGCCATAGCCTCTCTGGTTACCATAGCTACCACCACCATGGCCTCCACGGTTACCATAACTTCCTTGACTACCATAGCCTCCTTGACTACCATAACCCCCTTGTCTTCCATAGCCACCCTGACTGCCATAACCACCACTGTAATTTCATTGTAAAATTATTTTATTCACGGGAAATATATTAAAAAAATAAATAATTAAAATTTTGAACATCACTGTTTTTTCTTTCTTTCTTCTTCTTTTTTTTTGTATGGGGGGGAGGGGTAGGGGGTGATTATCAATACATATCTTACAGTCAACCTGGAAAATTAAAAGGAATGTACCAGCAAAAGTGAAAATATTTCTATTTTGGCTTACCCTTTTCCTTGGTGGCCATGGGACTGCCATCCACCTTGGTGTGGACCTACAATATAAAAAATAAAAATAAAACATGCCGTGGTATCCAAATAGGAAATAACCCACAAATAACCAATAAAAATAAATAAAATAAATAGAAATATGTGTGTGTGTCACTTTGAACATGCTGTTCAAAACAGAAACCACAAAACTTGCTGTCAGGATATCTGTGGAAGAGGCAGTAAGTTAATCACAGCTAATGTTATATTAATCTTTGGGGATAACTTGTGTTAATATCAGAAAAAAATCCCTTCTATGCAACAGTAGCTTTCTCTTAATATGAAAAGAGATAAATAATGTATCCTATAATTATAAATTATAACTGCAGCAAACACATTCAATATTGTTTAATCTAATGGCATGAAAACAAACAAAAACAAGAGATGAATGTGAAGTTTCAACATGACTGAACAAATCCATAACAACCTTTCTAATACAAACTTATGTCTGCTGCTACACATTTCAATATTGCATCATCAAATCCTAATTAACTGATAAAAGATAGCACTTCAGACCTTAGTTCATTACAGTGCCTTTTAGAATATATATATATAAAATGTATATATTTGTTATAAAATGTCCTTCTTATCATAGTTGAATTCATTAAGTTTCTTGTGTTTCTGTTAAAACACTTGAGTGAACTTAGACATGACTAAGTGGTGAGGTGGGACTCTTAAACATTGACACTGACAACTCTTTTAATGCACAGGATGCTAATATTCTAAAAATTTGGCCTTCAAAAAATATTTTTTGAACAAGGAGAGGCTTTGAAGCATGCTTACACTTACTGAACACAAAATATAAAGTACAGATACCTCCCCTATGTAATTGATAGTACAGAACTCATTGTTTCATATTCCTTACAGATGTATTCATTCTCATTTCCTTGAAATAGAAAAATAATTTCAAAATATTTAAACAGACCTATTACATATAGAATCATCCAGCTGACAAAAATCATCAATAAGTATAGAGAGAAGTAGTCACATGCTACAATCAAAAAAAAAATTTTTTCTTTTCATTTTAAATTTCTTTTTTACTGAGATTTTTGTATTGTTATACTAGATACTGTAACTGGATTGCAGTATTGTGACTCACAATTTTTACTATTAGGAAATATATAATACAAAAAATAGATGTTTGAAACTAAATATTTTCAAAATGTTCAAATCATGGGGTTAAGGACTGATCATTGATATATACTCCATGATTTTTTTTTTTTCATATAAAACTTCTATTTAATATGATTTTTGATGGATGTACAACCAATTAATATTCCTGAATTATCTGTGCAAAACTTGAGAAGGCTTACAGTAACAAGGTGGTCTCTACCTCACTCCATTGCGGTGTAATAGACTCTTTTGTACAACAACAATGCTTGTGGGATTTGTATTTTTCTGCTGAAAATGTCAATATCTAATCCCTGGGCAAGCTGAATGCCAATCTGTGAAGGGAAATCTCTTGGTACATACAAATCATTGCCAAGTCTTGAATGGGAACAAAAGCTACACAGTAAAGCTAAGTAAGCACATTGAAGACTCCCTCCGCACAACATTTTAGACAACAATGACTCTCAATGCCAAGGGAGGAACAGATGCTATTAAAAATATCGCTTATTGATCTTTGTATCAAGCCTAAAGAATTCCATTAAACAACTGGTAATGTTTTGTAGTGAAGTACTTGTCTGTCATTTTTCTTAATGGGCCATGTTTATCAATTATATATTCTACAAGACAATCATGTAAACAGCTTCCCCATGACACGACTAATCAAGACAGTGCCCTTACAGAACAGACATGACGACTTACAGTTCATCTGGTTTATGAAAAGTGGGAAAATTGCAACTTGAACCTTCTTTTGAATATGGTTTCAATAGGGGAAGAAAAGTGCCCATAACCCATTATTGAACAGTATTCAGACAATACTGGAAATGTGTCATAATTATCTTGTATTTCCAATACATGCAATATGTGCCCTGAACTTTGATACTGAACTATGATAGTAAAACTGCTAAGACACCATGGTAAATCGGTCTCCCATGGCATCCCTAAGCAAGAAGCAATATTGACTTCTCTTAACTTAATGCTTCTTAATTGTGGCCATTGTTATATTTGTCCAAAGCAATTCCTAGTCAATTGATTGTTTGCCTAGTATAAGTTCGACATCACTGTTGACTGCACTAGCTGACACTTATCCAAAAGCCGCTGAACAAACGCCGTATCCTCCAAACTTTTCAAATACCTCAGCGACACTATTGTAGTCATGCCTTGCCCGGTCTGCATGTCGGCCTGTCAATTATACTTTCATCCTGACCAAACAGATTTGGGAGCATGTGGGAGGAGATGGGAAGCAATCACGGGTCCCACATGCAGACTAACTCTTTGAGCAAATTAGGTAATCGCTCGCCTGCTTTTGTTTTGGCCTAGGCACGGTCAAACACATCACTGTGACCGTTCTCACGGCTTACTTGTCCCTGAGATGAAAGGAGCCACTGTCCAGTGCTGTGAACAATGCCGTGTCTGGACACGGATGATCGGTGCACTGGATGTCCCAAGTTAAACCTCTGTCAGGAATTTCTGGGTTACAACATACCCCCCTCCCTTTTTACTGACTACGCTTGCTGAGGAGATTGCCTGTTGTTCACCAAGGGCTTAAATGGAATCATATAACCAATTTCTTTCTTTCCTTCATGTCAAGCTGGTAATTTAACCCCATTCTAAAAGTGATGCACACAAACATATATTAGCAGAACTCAATGACCCTGTGAATAATCTGCCAACCTCATATTTTCATCAAAATGCCTTTATATCAAAATGTTCTCTCTAATCTGCCCTATTCAATCTCTTTCCTTAAAAGATTTTTTTAAAATTATGACAAAAAATAATAATAAATGAACGAATAAATTAAAAAAGAAATTGCAAAATACAGAAAATTTGGTTCATAAGTGAAAAAGTCTAAATAAAATTCACCTGACATGACAGAAAAATCTGTGCAGACAAAGAGTAACTTATTGACATGTACCAATTAACAAAGCTGAAGAACAAACCATCTAAAATAAAAGATTAAACTGCAGGAAATTATCAGGCAATAATTTATAATAGTAGAAGTTAAACAGAATTTTTCAAGTTATGTCACTTTCCTTTTCTTCAGCATTGTCAGGCACACAAACGGATTCTGTATCTTACACATTGCTTATGAGGAATAGTAACAGAATGGGATAACCCCTCCCCAAACTTTAAAAAGTGTTGAATGGAACCAAAACTCCTTTAAAGGGCAGCTGACAACTTTCTCTCCTGATTGAATCACCAAAACTAAGAAATTTTGAAGAAATATTTATAAAAAAAAAAAAAAAAAAAAGGAACAAAGGTACTGAAGTTCACTTATGTGATAAATAATGTTGTGCTTCTAAGGCAACCAGGAGTCCAAATGTTCCCAGTCTCCTCTTAGACCTGGCACTTATATTTTAAATGTTCACATAAGTATTTCAAGGAAACGCACCGAATTTATGAATTCAAAGAATTAATATCCTTTAATTGACCCCTTGTTGTTATACAGACATAGTTAACTGAATGATTTGTTTCTATCAATTGATTAATCAATCAATTAAAACAAACAAACACACACACAGTCTTAATGTTTTTTTTCTTCATTTTTTAAGAATCTAATCTTTTTACACACTTCACAAACTTCAAACAGAAAATAAATTGTCATTTACCATTTGCAGTATCTGTAACATAAAGAACAAATTTAAAATCTATTTTCTATTACAGTTTTCAAAATAAATTGCTTTCAAAATAATCCCCATCTCTTCAGAGTAATACAAGTTCATTTGAAAGTGGAAGTGTATTTGATTCGATGCTTGAATTATCAAGGAGCCGCCAATGTTCAGCCGGACAGAGAGTTATCAAAGAAGAAGAATAACTTAGAGCACAAAAATAATATCACACTCCTTCAACTGGGACAAAATTTGATTTTCATTCAAATTGTTTAGCAATTTTCTCTTTGCCTCAATAAGTCAACAGATTCTCAGCCTCAGTCTGGGTACAGATTTACACATAAGTAAGTAGCTCTTACTCTCTCCTTCAACCTCTTGTACTTAGATCAGGGGCTATTGATAGCACTCACTACTTGGAGGCAAAAACGGGGCTCAAACTGGGACACTCTTGTTTTAAGATTGAAAAAAAATCCTTCAAACTTTTTAAAGAGATTAACTCACAAAAAGAGTTTACTTTTTTTGTAATTAAATTATTTTGAGTTTTTAAAATGAGATATAATAGTTTCAAAATATAAATAAAAATGACAATTAAAATCATAGTATTATTTCCCATTTTTTGTATGTTTATAGCCAATGTAAAATTTTTATTACATGATATCACTTACAATAATTCCAAAGTAAAAAAGAATTACAAAATTTATTTTACCTTAAAACAGATAACAAAAACTCTCCAAAATGTTCTTACTTCAAAAGAAAAATTAGTTTAAACCGCTGTGTCTGAGATAGTGTTTCTATGGCCCCTTGGTAAGCCCCCACGGGGACAATCACAAATCAATGCTTTCACTCTCCCTGGTGGGATTCATCAATAGTTGCCATTGTCTACTCACATAAAGCCTAACTGTCAATACAATCAGGCTTGCCTAATGACTTGCATTTAAATACAAGTTTGTTGACACTTGAAAAAGCCCAATATACCTTGCTATGTTCAAAGAAATTCAAAACCAGTCCCCATGGCAACTGTCTGAAAATGTGGCCGTCTGTCAGCGATTGACTTCCTGAAGTGCTGTTCTTAATCTTTATTCCTACCTGATTAACTTTCAGCAACAGTTTATAACAGGGGAAACATGCATCAAAACTGTCTGATCTGCCTGATAAATATGTTGACTGACAAAAAAACTCCAGTGCCTACTTATTGCCTTGAAATTGCGAAACTGTTTTAAGGTGTTCATTACCAGAGATATGTTAGACACTTAAAAAAAAGAAAAAAGAAAAAACTTGCATCCCAACAGATG